ATAATTGCACCTTTTACAGGATTAAAAAAGGCAAAGTTCTTAACATGAAAAAAGCATCAAATAAAATATAGATAAAATAAAAAAAGATAAACAGCATAGATCCAACATTAAAGCATAAAACTAGTTAACAACTGGTTAAGAGCCATTCAGTAAAAGTGGGTTTCAACTGCTTAAAGGAATGAATAGAGTAAAGAAAGGGCAAATCTGAAGACAATGCATTCCACAGTCTGGGGCCAAAGCTCTAGAAGACAGATCCCTGTAGGTCCTGAAATTAGTTTGTGGAACCAAAATATTTCTTTTTCCAAAACATTGAACGACATTGAACATTACAATACTGAAGGCAGGATGAAATAAAAGCATTAACAATCATCTTTAATCCAGCTTTTGACTCCAAAGTTCAGCAATGATAGTTCTTGGCTGAAAGAAGCACTTTTTAATTAAATCACGAAAATGACTGTCTAGTGACTTGTTAGAATATGCTTAGGGGACTCTGTTTAGAAAATTAACAGTTTGGCAGATCAGCTTTGAGCCTGTTCATGTCAAAAAATTAACAAACAATGCAAAATTACAGATTAGAGTAAATAAAATGATGATCAGTTGTCTCTGTGGAGCCTAAGCCTATGGCAGTATAACTAAAGTGATAGATCAGGATAGCATAAAACACCGTAACTATAAGCTTTATCACAAAGGAAGATTTAAGGCCTAGCCTTAAAAGTAGACAGAGTGTCGTTCTCAGTGACTAAAACTGTTAGTTTGTTCAATAGGTGAGGAGCCTGATAACTGGCTTCCCAGCAGATCTAGCTTCCCTTGTACTTTTAGAAACTCTAGGAACTGTTTGGAAACCTTTGAGAGTAAAGTTCTCTGTTAGGGACATAAGGAACAATAAGATCTCTGATATAAGATGGAGCTTGTTCCAAAAAAGTAAAAAAACAAACCAATAGACTTTGTTTTCCAAGTTTGAAGACGTTTCGCTTCCCACTTGGAAAGCTTTTTCTATTCAAAATGCCTGGATTAGCATTCAGTTACAAGCTTTATAGAGTAGCCCAACAAAGCCTTGTTACGGGTTAGAAAACATGCAAATTAAACCAGACGAACAAATCCACCCCTTAGTAATGGGGAGTTGCTGAGGTCGTTGTTGGCCTGAAATACACGATACTGGCCTATGCCTCTGAAAAGGGGTTTGTTAGGGTCATTGTTGGCCTGGCTGATCAGGCGAGATGTTTTGCTCCCCTGCAAAACCCCTTTTTATTAAAACGGTATCACTAAACACATATTTAGTAGAAAAAAATAAAATTATGCCAAAACAATATGAGAGTCATATATGCTATATATGTAGTTTAGATTTAATTGATATAGTGCTGCACATAAAAGAAAGACAGACAGAACTAGTGCATAGTGCTTTCCTGGGTGTTGGAGATGGATGACGAAGGGTGTGTGAGGCAGGGCCTGGAGTATAATTTCCTTCCAACATCTCATGGCATAATACAGGAAACTGTGGTGGAAATTCTTTTTGCCTGCTTACTGTGTAGTTCCCTTCCTGACCTCTGGAACAGTCTGTGTTGATTGTATGTATATGTCCTTGCAAACAATCTGCTTTCTGGGCAGGCATCACATTTCTGTGACATCTGGAATTAGAACTGATGGAACTGTTTAAGGGAATGCTTTAGAATGTGTGGTACTTCACAAATCTACCTCCTATTATTTCCCTTTTACATATATTTATATATATATATATATATATATATATATATATATATATATATATATATATATATATATATATATATATATATATATATATATATATATATATATATTTATATATATATATATATATATATATATATATATATATATATATATATATATATATATATATATATATATATATATATATATATAAAAACGGATGAGATTGTGTTGTTAACTCTTTATGGATTCAGGGCTGAAATATCAACCATTTTGTGGTATGTCTAATAAACATAATTTTTTACAAACATGCCTTTTAAAAGTTTTGCTGATATATGTCAGTTGAAAAGTAACATTGTTCCAACATCTAAACAATGATGATTAATTAACTGTTGCGTGTTGTAACATTAAGTTTATCTATTATTTAGCCTGCAATAGGCTGCTGTGAAAATATGGTACCTGTAGATTTTACTGTGAATTCCTCTGAAATACAGCTCGTATAATAGATAATAGTAGGTATGATAATCATGATTCAAAATCTAAACAAAATTTAATCAAATGCAACCAACTGCTGTTGATTCAAAAGTGACTTAATGTCAAAATGCCAGCTGGGTTGTTTCTCTTTAAGCTTTCTTTTTTATATATATATATTTTTTTGTTTGCTTTGTTTTGTTCTGTGTTTTCTAGATTTAGATCATTTTTGTTTTCTTAGTTTCGCTCTTCCTGGTTATCTCTTTTCTTCAACATTTTTGGTATTATTTATTCCTTGGTCTAGTTTTAGTTATAGTAATTCTTTCTCTTATCTTAAGGTTTTGTTTTCCATGTAGACATTTGTTTTATTCCCCTTTAGCCTTATTTAATATGTTTTCAAGCAACCATTAGATCCTGGTGTTTCGTTCTAGTTACTCTGTCTACACCTGCTACCTATCAGTTTATTATTCCTCCCATTGTTTCTGTCTCCCTTATATACACATCCTGTTAAGTTCATCATTGCTGGATCCTCATCATTCTTTAGGTTTTTTTCCTCCCTAGTGTCTCTTAGTTTTTTGATTCTTGACTTTTCTTGTCGATCGGTTCTGGACTATGTAATCAAGTAATCATCTCTGCCTTTTCTACTCTGCATTTGGGTCCAGTACAACATCCACCAGCCCTGACAGAAAGGGGGTGATTATTCTATTAGGGAGTGTTTGGGATAAAAAGAATGCGTCTCACAACAAAGTAGACTGTTTCTCAGGGATTATTTAATAAAATTTGTTATTTCCAATTGTCTTTGTTTGGCTAAATATTTCTAAAGATCTTCACAACCTTTCTGCAGGGTGAATTAGTGAGAGACAAACGGTCTCTACTCAGAGCTGGGCTGAACATGATGCTGTGAGGGCTGTTGTCTTGTTCTCTTTTTACTTTGCAAAGTAAATAAAATGTCGACTGAGTGAAATCCATTGATCTCTGCTTATATAACTGGAGTGAATAGTTGAATACCCTTTCCCCACGACATTTACTGATAATGTAATGTATAAAATTAACTTTATAATTATATATTATTCTGAATGCTTATTTCAGTAGCAGCCAGGAATTATGTCCATAGCCTCTGGATCAACTCAGCAGTAAAAGGTACATTTGTCTAACAAAAACACACACAGCCAAAACAAAGTAGATATAAGTAACCATTTATTTTAAGTATATTTACCCTTAATTCAACAGGAGAAATAAGATGATTTGTCAACCGAATTAGTTTTTTCCCCCTCTTCAAATAGATAAGTAGAAAATATGCACTTTGAATAAGACAACCCTTTTGTTTTTTTTCTTATTTTAAGCGTAAATTGTCTTGTTGCAATGGTAAAGTGTCTCACTTACCTAGTGAAAAAGAAAAAAATGCACTTATTTTAAGACAAAATGACTTATTTAGATTTACATTTTTTGCAGCGTAAAAAAGGCTTAATGAAAAGGAATGGTGTCCATACACCATTGCTGTGCACACGGTCCTTAGGGATTTGTCCTGCATGTTTTAGATGTGTCTTTGCTCGAGCAAGGCTACACCACTGATTATTCACTGGACTGCTGATAGGTTGCTGGTAGTACACGGTCTTATGCCGCCATATTCTCGCCATATACTCCCTAGTTCGACTAATCGGAATGTAAACATACGTGCACTACAGCATCGAACGATGATGTTCTCATTTTCAGGAGGGCTTAAGACTTTTAAAACCAAGACAAAGTCATCACTTTCTCACCCAATTTATGGTAAAAACATATGCACATCACAAAGCACATTCAGTATGAAAATAGCATGTGAGGACTGGCAAAATGTGATCACTTTGCAACAACTGGTCCTCAATTTGAGGGTGAAATTGCAAAAAATGCTCCTTGCTCTGAGGGCTAGACAGGTGTACACACATCTGATAATGTGCCAAAAATGACTTTAGTTTTTGTGGTCTATCAGCAATCCACTGAATAAATAAGGGAGTGTACGCCTAGTGGTTAGAGGAGTCGCTCGTACGCAAGTACCTCATTGACTTGAATGCAACTTGAAAGCAATCCCTGACATCAAGCATGCTTGCAGGGACAGCAGAGAGGAAAACTCCCTTTTAACAGGAAGGAACATCGATACAGAAGCAGGCTCAGTGTGAGCAGCTATCTGCCGAGGCTGAAATCTAAAAATGCCATGTTGGTAACTGGACAGTATTTCTTTTTAATGGTGTGTTTTTCTTACTGGAGTATGTTCGTTAATCTATTGTCTATTGTTTATTAGCCTTGTTTTTTTTTTTTTTCGTCTTTTCGGATAATTTCTGAATTTGTCTTTCTTTCATTTTCCCTTTTGCTTTGCCACTGATATGCCTTTGCAACATTAAAGGTAATTTCTATTTGTATTTAATATAACTCAAATTGTGCCATACTGCTGCTGCCATAGAAATAAATTGATTTGAATTTGTATGGTAAACTGTTCTGCTACAATCATAGTTGCAAGAAAACTGAAATATTTTTCTGACTTTAGGGCTGACTAAATGAGACCTTTGGTTTTCTTCATCAAATTGATTTAAATTGACCCAAATTTGGTTCAAATGAACTTTGAGTGTTTAAAATTGTAAAATTGTTATTGAAATAATTGAGATGAATTATTTCAATAACTGCTCTGACATTCATTTGAAAAGAACGGATCCTGCTTCCTGTTGTTTTTTTTTATTCTACCCTACAAGGACCCCTAGATGGCCTTCAGTGCTCATCTAGAGCTCTGAAGTTGTAAAAACTGGGGTGTTGGCCTATCAGCTACATCTTGCTTCGTCTTTCTCTGCTGTCACAATTTTGCTGCTGCTACTGAGCAACCCACAAGACTCCGTGTTTATTTTTGGACTGCCATGGTGCCTGTTCCTTCCATTTGTAGGAAGGGGGGTCGAGTGAGGCTCAGCATGAACCTGCCGTTCTGACACTCCAGGCTGGGACAAGCAGGCAGCAGCTGGTAAACCACCCCAGGCAGCAGTCCTACAGGTAACATTTCCCTTCAATTACACCTTTTATTTTCCAGAACACAGGAATACATTGCTGTTAAGGAGACAGCTGTTGTTGGATATATTTGCATTATGTGTTCAGAGGCTCAGAAGGTTTAATGTCTTGTTCTGAGTGCAAAACTGAAGCACAACCCAGGCTAAAATTTCCTAACAACGCTTTAATCCTTGAAGATTTAAAATCTGCTCATCACTAATCTGCCCAGTTCAAATTTGATCATATATTTGTAGCTTTAATTGAGCAGGTTGAGCAGGAGTTTTTACATTTTACCCAGAGTAAAAATAATGTCCTTTCCTCGTCTTTTAAGGGAAACTCACCTTGAGCCCTTTAAACACCACCATTTCAAGTTCGTCACCTGGTAAGTTGTTTCAGGTTTGTTCAAACCTTCCTTTTGACACGAAGCTTGGCGTTTGTTGTCCGAATTCCTTTGCTTCATAACTGTTTTCATTGCACAGCTATTATTAGACTTTCCTCTTTTGAACCTGTATCCTATAAGAATATCCATTGCCCACATTAGCAAAGCCTTAAAAGGAGGAATGGGTGTCTCATGTATCTGGCTGGCAGCAAAGTGCAGTAGGGAGGCATTAAGAGCGTTCTGAATATTTACCAGGTTGTGCCTATAATTCATCAGGGTGACACCATGGAGACAAACCCTTGTATATGCGTAGACTTTGTTATTGCAGAATAAAGAGCAGCTTAAACCAAATTACCTGATTTGATCAGCTGAAGTGAAGGCCGCTGACACTTCATGCCATGGAATGTAATGCAGTTTGATTTTTTAGCTCTTAAAAATGTCTCCAATCCTCGATGCCAGAGCTTCATTCTTATGAGGCGTGATTATTCCTCAGGAGTAGAGCTTCACAGATACATAACTTTTTGAACGTTCAGTATCAGGGCGGTGTGAAGTCATGCTTTGATAAGCATTTACTTTCAGACTGATACAAGATGGAGCCTACTGCCCAAACTATTGAGATTGTTTACAATGGCCCCAAGAGAAGCTGAACTTGCAATATTCAGTTTTACTGGATTAACAAAGTCTGATTTACTTTACTTCTTAATCATACAGGTTGTATAAAACTCACAACTGTTTTAACAGGGAACCAGAAAACAGGCACTAAAATTGGGCCATGCAGAGGCATCCATGACCAGCTGTAAAGTGGTAACATCATCCTGGGAGAAGAAGAACTCTCTACACTGCTAACTACTCTCTATCTTTAACCATCAAAAATGTTTCTGAAATTTTTTTTATTTTTTGGCATGAACAGGCTCAAAATGATGAACACTTGTCATGTTATTTTTAGAAAATAAAAAAAGACAATTCAGTTAACATGTCTCCAAAATCTTTATATAATAATTTATTTATTTATTTATAAAACAGAATGGTCATTATTTAAATTTGTTCAAATATTTTGCCGTAAATTGTATTTGGATTTGTAAAATCCATCTTTTGCAGTTCTTAGAAGTTGTTCTATAAAAAAAAGCCTTTGTTCATTTGTTTGTTTTTAAATAAGATTAAAAGTACATTTCAAATTTAACATGACTAAATATATTTGTAAATTTGCCTGTTTAAGTTCTGAGGTCAATTATCACTGCTTGTTTCAGCTTCTGCACCTATGTTAAATGACTTCATAGCCTAGTGGATCATCCATTATATCTTATCACAAACTTTTAAGATTTTAATGCCTGTGGCTGCAACTAGAAGAATTTACAATCATAAAGCATAGTATCTTATTCCATTGTTCTGTAAAGCTGTTATTAGAAGTTCTTTTTTTATTTCAAAACATGGCATGTGATTTGGAGGAGGTTGCTTTTTATATCCTATCATTCTGTTCGTAGTGAAAGGATATGTTACCAAAACTTTTAAGACTGAAATCATTCTTTACTTGTTTTGTCAAATTCAGAGGTTCCTACAAATTCTACCAATCATTGAATATTTTTCTATTCCAATATTTGATCATCAGCAATTGTAATATTCCCCAGCAATGCAAATTCAAAACACAACAGAGCTGCACGATGGAGCAGTTTGTAGCACTTTTTCCTTGCAGCAAGAAGGTCATGTGTTCGATTCCTAGCCTGGGGTCTTTCTGCATGGAGTTTGCATGTTTGTATTTTCTCCCCATGCATGTGTGGGTTCTCGCCACGTACTTCGGCTTCTTCTACTAAATACATATACCAATGCCACTAATTGTGGTGTCCTAGTACTGGCTCAGTGATTTTCAATGCCCTGGATTTTTGTACAAAAAAATCTGTCTGTCTGTCTTACTTAAAAATTGGTGTAAGATAAGGAATAAATTCTAGGTGTGTTTACATTTTAGGACTTTGTAAAAAGCCTTCATCTGATCCAACCTTCTAGAGCAGGAAATCATAATTCAGCATGTATGTAATATAATATGCATGAAAGTTTCTTTGTTTTATCTTGTATAACTATATTACTTTTGCTAGGGGCAGGTGGAGGGAAAGAGCAATTTAGTGGCAGCTGAGGGGGCATAGTTGCTAACAGGAATTCCAGAAACTATCATCCTAGCTGGTCAAACTTATATCTCTGCTGTGACTAACTTCATGTACTTACATTTACGTTCATACGTTCTCTGTTTAGCTGTGTTTCTTTTCTATAAGAGGACATACAGTAAGGAGAGATACTGCTGCTACTGACTAAATACATGTTTTAAAAGTACTCCCTGACTCCTATTTGCTATTGTGGTTCTGCTCAAACCTGGGTTGTACAGCAGATCACTCACAGTGACCTGGTTCTGCCAATATATTTGCAAAGGATTTTTCCCCCCTTTTTGTAACACCTATAACTCATCAAGAAGGATTCCTACGGAACTGGGAACTTGGTGCATTTAGATTAATATGTACCAATTGGCAATACTGTATAAGATCAATTTGACTTCAGTTTTATAAATTGGATTGAACTAGAATGGATACAATATCTACATTTTTTATAATATTACATTGTCCTGGTTTTAGATTAATTTATATTACTAGAGTGTTGGTCTAATCGTTAGAAAGCAGGGCGTTTGCGTCCTTGAGATACCACAATAGACCTGAGACTCTGGGCGAAAGTCTTCAACACCATTAACCCCAGGAGGATCTAACTAGTGCGGCAGGACCTGCTCCCTAAAGATGTGTTAAATACAGAGGACATGTTTCACCACTGCAAGAATTTAAAGGGATCTTTCCTTTTATTTATTTCTGGATATGAATTGAATTAATCTATTTGGATAGTGGGCCAAGCACCCATGTAGGGAGGCCTTAATCCTCGACGTGGCCGACCCGGGTTCGAATCTGGCCTGTGCTCCCTTGCCATGTGTCTTTCCCCTTAGCGGCTGGGTAGTTTAAGTGATAAGTCGCCTGACTTGCACACAGGAGACCCCGGTTTGAATACCTGCTAGAGGGCATGAACTGCCGGCATGCTTCCTTTGGCAACTAAGGCCTACCTCATTGTAACAATCTGTCAACTTTGATTAAAGCATCTGCTAAATGCATAAAACATGATATTTGCTTTGCAATGGTTCAGTATATTTAATTTACTTTTGAAATTATGAAAATATATTTAAAAGAAAATTTAAGCATTTACAAGTTCATAGAAGAGTATGTCATAAAATGTTACAAGAAATATTTTTAAATATGATGAAATGTGTAGTTTACACAATGAACATAAAAACTGTAAACAACTTAGAAGAATAGATACAGAAGTAATTTATTTAATGTTTTCAAAAAAAGGTGTACATATAAAAGCAAACATTCATTAATATGGTATAAAAGTAAAAACAGATTGAGACAGAGGAGCAGGAATGTGTGAGCTAAAACATACATGAGTAACTAAATGGCTAAATACTGTAAAATTCAGATAAACAACTGGGAAATGACAATATATTTTACTACCACCACAATTGTCACTAGTATGCACTGTGACAAACATAATTGGCTCTTATTTACAGTAAAAAACATGTATTTACGTTTTTGCATTTTAGGGTGTGGACAAATGGAGCCCTGAGCCCTGAGGGGAAGAGGAGAGATTATGGTGATGACAGAGAGGCCTTCCAACAGCAAAGACTTTTGGATAATCACCAAAAATAAATTGTCCAAATACAATTAGAAACATAAAAAAAAAGGTCATTTAAAAAAGATTTATTTGTAATATAAGGCATGACTTTGTTTTACCAAAGATTAAAAAAAGGGTTATACATTATTCACAATTAGTTATTATGTTGTAAGTTTTATTATTATTTTATTTTTATTACTATTTGAGGACTGTCAGAGACCGTCTTCTTTGTTGAGTGAAACTAGTTGAAAAAATCCAAGAAAGAAAAATCTCTCCAATATCCTCGTGGATCTAAATTCTGAAATATTTATTCAGATTTTACGTCAGACATTGGAAGGTATATATATATAGAGATATATATATATCTCTCTCTCTCTCTATATATATATATATATATATATATATATATATATATATCTATATATATCTCTATATATAGAGAGAGAGATATACGTATATATGCAGTTTTGATTGCTCTCCACTGTAAAGTGCTAAACAGGTCTAAAATCAATGTGTGTTTTTTTTTATTGTAGATGAAGCAAATTGTGAACATTTTGCACTAAACTAACAGACAAACCGGTACAGATACAAACTTACACATTACAAACGATCATCCTGAACTGAAAAAAAACAAAACTCACATTTAATCACTTTATTGTTAGAACAGAAAACAAAACAAAATGAGGAGGTTCAAGCTCTAGTTGGGTATAACCACTAGTATGTATGGTTAAACTCAAAACAACCTCAGCTGATTTTCTGAAAATCTGAATTTTACCAAAGTCTCATTTTCATTAATGATATAGTGGTCCAGTTATAATACCAACATGAATCTGATTGGAAATCTGTGGGTAAATGCAGTACCAGCCAAAATGATTTTCCCATTCTTTATTTTAGAGTTTACATTTCTAAAATGTTATTTTCTTTTGAACATAGATAAAAGGAACCAATGATTAATTTTCCATTAAAATCACCTTCAGAAGCCTATTGCATTTCTTATCACAAGGAAACTTCTTTTTTAAATGAAATCTGAAATCTAGAGCTATGCATGATTTGGGGGCAGCATTTGGGATTGTATTCCCTAGATATCTTCAGAAGAGATCACATTAGCTTTGTTAAAAAAAAAGAGCAGACTATAGTTTGGTAGAGCTCCTCAGATAAGCTGTTGTGAGATCGAAAAGGCAATGGAAGAAGAAATTATACCTTGGCAATTATTGTAGCACAGACCTGCAAAAAGAGCAAAGGATAAACATTAGACGTAAAAATGTTAAACCATTATTAAAGACATTTATTTTGTATGACTATTAAGGCATATTAAGTAAGTACTTTGTTAGAGGCATCAATGGTATTATGTTTAAAAGGAAAATTGAGCAATTTTAGGTTGTTTTGGTTTAAGTTAGCAGTAGATAAAAGGTGAAGCAGATGATAATGATGTTTGTGTTGATGATGACAATCTACTGTACATACTGTACATAGAAACAGTTATGTCTGGCTAACATTTTTGTTAAAGATACCATCTGAGTAAGAAAGTAGTACTGCCTTTGGGTTACAATTTAAATTTTAATCACTTGAATATAAGAAAAAAAAACAATTTAAGGCTTGATTTCATTTTTTTTTTCTCTCAATAGGGTGCAGAAGCATTCATGTCTGTTGCCTATGGCTCTATCCACCAGCTGGGCCTGTTTTCCCAGCAGTACCCTCCACCACTACTGCCCAAGCCTGGAAAAGATAATATTCGTCTTCAGAAACTACTCAAAAGGACTGCCAAGAAAAAGACTTCCACTCAGACATCACAGTCTACCACACCTTTCCGTTCAAGCCTTTCCCCTGTAAATGAGGCAAGCCCTGATCTGGAGCACAGTGACCACTTAACATCCCCTCAAACGCTAGACACACCTCATAGACTTCACAGCATCCAGCAACCTCCACGATTTACAGTCAGGCCACTGTATCAGCATGTGGCATCCCCTTATCCACAACGAGCAGCTTTTGCTGGTCGAGCGGTAGGCATGTCCCCTCCTACTGTGGCTGTCCCTTCATGCTCTTCCTCACACTATGCCACAAAAGTATCACCTAATTCTGCATCAGACCAGGTCTCTAGAGTCTCAGTCTCAACAGAGCCTGTTGGGCTGCCAGGAGAGGCTAAACATTCACTACCATATTCCTCTGTGCCTGAGATGAAATTACCAGCAGCTGAACTAAAAACATTTAATGACAGTCAAGCAGGTATGAGCTCTGTCCCATTTGTAGGTACCCCAACATCACAGATTAGAAGTTCAACTCCACATCCAATACCGACAGGTCAAGCTATGGTTCGGCCTCTTACTGTGTTGACCTCTTTCATTAAATCTAAAAGTCCTCGTCCAACATTTAAAGCAACTGAACCCTCAAAATCACCAAAGCCAATGTTTGAAGTACCTCAAATTAGAATGTATACAGCAAGCACATCATATTATGAGACATCTAGGACACCACCGGTATACGATACAGCTGGATTAACAGCCATTGGCACCACGGTACCTCAAAGCAAGGCTTTAGCAGAAGCACATCAGGATGTTCTCACAGCATCCACGATCAAAGGAGTGCAGACAACAACAATCCGCCTGCCTGTATCAGACACTGATCAAGGGAGAAAAACTCCAAAATCAGAATTAGAAGGAGCCATCTCAACAGCTGAAATCAAAAGAGTAACTTCAGAAATCCAACAAGTGACTCCAGTGTCAGAAATCAAGCAAGTCCCTCCAACATCAGAAATCAAGCGAGTCACTCCAACATCAGAAATCAAGCGAGTCACTCCAACATCAGAAATGATGCAAGCCACTTCAACACCTGAATTCAAAAGAGCAACCCCCATCTTGGAAGCAAAAAGATCAACCCTAGCGTCGGAGAGTAAAACAACCACTCTAATATCTCAAGCCAGAGTTCAAACACCAATATATGACATTGTATCATCCAGAGCTTCAGGAGGACGGCCTAAAACTCCAGCACACCACATCACCCGAGCAACAACCCCTGTCTTTGAAATCTCACGACCTAATCCTCTTTTGTTTGCAGTGTCCCCAATCACAGTGGATCCAGAGAGGTCAAGGTCACCCCAAAATATTTCTAGTCTTAAAAGTTCACATGCCTTGCTAAATCTGAAGACCACAGAGCTTCATGAAACTTTAATTAATGGGGATGTTAACCCTGATATGACACCTGCAAATAACTCTGTAAAACAAGGCATTAAAAAGTCAAAGTCGGAGTCTGATTTGACTCGAAGAGTGACGTCGGTTTCGACACTTGGCTCTCAGAGAGCTTTGACTCCTGTTTCTGTGCCAGCTACACAAGTAGTGACTAGCTATCAGAGGCCAAAAACACCAACATATGAGGCCTCTCGCCTTTTGACCAAATCACCAGGCTATAAAAGGCTGAACACATCAACATCCAATATTATGCAGATGGCCAGTCAGAGACCTAAAACCCCGGAATGGCAAAAGTCAAAGTCTGCCTATCGTGGGCTTACGCCAGCTGAGTATGCTGCTTACGGTGGAATCAAAACATATTCTCCTGCATTTGGCATTACAACCTCACTGATGCCAACACAAGATGAGGTTAAAGCTAAAGAAGAGGTTCTCAAACAGAGTAGCCAAGAACTAAATGTAAAAGAACAACCTACAGTTGAGCTTTCTGAAACAAAGGAGACATCAGAGAGTAAAGAAAAGCCTAACCAGAGTGATGTAAAGGCTGGTTCTAGCGTCACGCTCCCAGTTATTGTAGTTTCGAAACCATTAGATTCAATTGGAACGATATCAAAACAAGGTCAAGCTATGGCAACTGGTTCAACTGCAGCAAAAAAAGAGGCAATAGTGGTCCAAAAAATTACAAAAGCAGTAGATGTCTTTTCTGAGAAACAGGATGGTAAAACCCCACTAACTACAAAAGCTACTGAGATAAAAGACACTCCTCCAAAAAGTTGTGACCAAGGTTCCCTGAAGGCGGTGAAGCACTTTTTGGGTAAAGCGAAGGTCCAGACCGATGAGAAGAAAATAATAAAAGTTGATGAATCTGTTGTAAAAGAACCAAACACATCTTTTAGTCCCACACAGGTTAATAAGGAAAGCTCAAAGTCTGTTCCCCCTCTACCAAATCTGCCTGCTGAAGAGCATTCTACAAAAGCATCTGAAAACAATAAAAAAGATTACAAAGAACAACTTTCATCAGATAAATTGGACAAAAAGGGAGCTAATGACTCCCCCCCAGCAACAACATCGCTTCTTAATGTCATGCAAAAGACAAAGGGCATAAAAGCAGGTAAGACTGGATGGTCACGACTTAAAAAACACATGGTGGTGGAACAGGAAGAGCCAACATTTCCAGAGTTAGGCTCTGAGAAAGCAGTCCATGAACAAGACCACAGTAAGAGCGAAAGGATAGAGGAGCACTTAAGTGCTCAGGATGGAAAGCAAGCTACACCAAAAGACACAGACACTCCAAAAGCAACTAAGATGTGGGACGCAGTCCTGTTCCAAATGTTTTCCTCTAAAGAGAACATTATGCATCAGATTGAATTAAATAAAAGTGATGATAAAAAGAATGAGGAGAAAAGTGACGAGCAGAAAGAGATCCCTTCATTTGCCTTCAGGCTACCAGTGTTGCTTTTCAGCCCCAGGTTTGATGCTAAAAAGCTTAAAGAAGCAGCATCCAGACCAGTCACAAAAATTTCTGTTGTGTTTGAAATGGGACTAATTGGGCGGAAAGGTAAGGAAGATGAACCAAAAGATTTTAACAGAAAAGCTAGAGGGTTTACTGCTACTTAATTATGCCTAATGTAAAGTGTCCATATTGAAAAAAAAAGAAATTTATTATAAAGTGGAGTTGATAAGCTTCAGAAGAAATCTTAAAGTAATACCTAACAAAAATGTTTTGTTATTGAACCTTGTTGGCTGTTGTTGAATAAAAAAAATAGCTGATTTGTCTTAAATTTCTTTGGACAACACAAAAGGTGTTTGTGTAATCTGAAAACCTTATCACAAATTTGCAAAGGCTGTTGCTGAGCCACAGAGTGTGTATGTACATGGTTGTTCCTTTTTCACAAATTTCCTGTTTTTGTTTTTTTTTTACATATATATAAAACCATAAATGTAAAACTAGATGTTCACCAATAAATAAAATAATCAACTATTTAATCCTTTTTTTTTTTTCAAAATTGTGATTTTGCTATAACACAAGGCCTGTAAGCAAAATATTAATGTTTATCTGGAGTTTGTAAAAAGAAAATGTTTTATGTTAATTGTGTTTCATAACACATTAAAGCTCCAAAACAACATTATGCAAGTAAATTGATGATTTACGTACTAGAAATGTTTAACCAGTAAACTTCCATAAACATAAATCTTGTATGAATAAAAACAAAGCAATGTGTTATACAATCAGTGGGTTTCAGAGGATTCAGTAGATTACTGCAGTGTTAAATGAAATTTTGTGGGATTAGAAAGTAATAAATAATTTAGATTAAATTTTAATAGATGGATTGTTCTGTGATTTGTTGAAGATAAAGCCAATGGCATCCAGCCAGACAAAGAGCTATGATGGAGGTTAGTGGGATGGTGATAACCATGCATAAGCTACATTGAAATAAGTAGTGATTTCTACATCTTATCATTCTGATAAGCCTCCTGTAGAAGGTGTTTGTAAAAGGGGAGGGGGGGGGCATTCAGTACAATTCTTCAAGCTAATTGGGTACCTGGATCCGATCCCAGGTCGAGTTTGTCAGCTGAGCAGTATCACATTCTTGATTTGTTTCACGGGGTTAAGTGATAAATTAAACTCTTACTAAATCTGTCCGCTAAGAATGTGCAAAAATGTTCTTATGCATAAAGACAAAAATTATATTGTGCTCGTTTTTCCAAAATGAGGGCATTCCTGCTGAAGAATCATGTGTCCTAATATATACATCTTTGGGTAAAGACTTCACTTTTTATAGCATCCCGTAGTTATCATAATAGCTGTGTACTAATGATTAGTTACTTGTAAAAGACTAATGCCAAAAAAGGAAAGCCAGGTTTTCTCTTTTTTTTAAGAATAAAACTTGTTTTAGAAAGCGAGTGATGGCCTAGTCATTAGAGCAGTGCGCTTGTGCTCTGAGAAGGTTGCAAGTACCCGGTTCGATCCTCACAGCCTCCAATCTGGCTTTCTGAGCAAGACCCTTAACCCCTCACTGCTCCCCGGGCGCCGCACAATGGCAGTCCAATGCTCCCCAAGGGGATGGGTTGAATGCAGAGCTAAATTTCTCCAGTGTGAGATTAATAAAATTCAATTATACCACTAGGGATACTTGTAACTCTAGTGGTCCACAAGTGAATTGCAAGGGGTACATGAAAATATTTTATTTCTTAGGTAGTAAAATAAAATAGGGCTGAGATCTGTTTTGCTTTGTGAGGATCCAATAAAAAAATTAAACAAGATTTTTTTCAACCAAAAACAAATTTTTCTTATATGTTTGAGTTCACCTTGAGCTGTGACACACATCCAAACCAAGGGGAGGAACAGACTGGATATAGAGAACAGCCTGGGATCAGCTGTTTTCCAAACTGAACTACAGGAGCTCATCAAAGCAGCTCAGGTGTCTTGATGAAAACAAAATAAAACTAATTAAGCCAGTCTACAATATTTGTCCTGTATTTCTTTCCCAATTCCTTAAGATTAAATATGATAATAAGGGAGTTACTTAGAGAAGCTCCAGTTTTATAAATGTGTGGGGCCGCTGCCCTTCAAGTTTTCAATGTTTCTCTGCTTCAGAACAGCTGATTCAGGTCATTGCAGTTCAGCAAAAGCCCGTTAATCATCTATCAATGTGAATCAGCTGTGCTAAAACAGGAAAACCTGAAACCCGAAATAAAGTCCTTGAGGACCATCTTAATAATTTAAATATATGATATAATATTATAAACAAAATAATTGAGAAAAATTTTGACCATTTACATAAGTCTGGCAGCTATATATATATATATATATATATATATATATATATATATATATATATATATATATATATATATATAAAAAGATAGTCTCCTGGCTGATGGGAATACAGCACCACCTAAGGTCCCTACTGAGAGCATCATAGAAACTAATGATCTGATATATAGTACAGCATTACAGAACCTTGGTCAAGGTAAAGTCAAGAGCGCCTAAAGAGGAAAATATTGACCATGGAACCGAAGTTTCGAGGTCAAAATCAAGGCAACACAGAGAGAACTAAGCCAATTCTCAGAACTCGAGACGGGATCATCTGGCTGCAGAAATACCAACTTATACCCATACCTGAGGCCCTGGAGAAGCATCACACAACAATGATGCGCTGTTACTAAAAGACCTAAGAGCTCCGAAACTCCTTGAACAAGGTCCAGTGAACATCACATGGCAGACCTCCAACAAAGCCTCGTAGGGATAAGGTACTGACTTCCATGAATGCCTAGCAGCACAATTTACTGGCAGCTGAAGAGTGGGACCCACCCTTAAAGGTCACCGAGGGGCGATTAGTCCTGATAATGAAAGACCCCCAGAAAGACACAGTAGCAACAAACTATTGGCCAATAACCTATCTCACCAAAACACAGGAGCTCCTGTTAGGTATCATAGCAGTAAAGATAAGCAAGCACATGGATCAACACATGGGAAATGATCAGAAAATCTTTGGTGAGTAGAAAGAGGAAACCCCCAGGTCAAAATGGGAGCCACATCACAAGGTTGTGGAGAATGTCAGAGCTAAGATCGTGTGGGACTTCCAGATACAAACAAAGTGGTTGTGACCAACCAGCTGGACATTGTGATAATTGATAAGCAGCAGAGGACAGCCATAGTGATCTACGAGGCCATGCCAAATAATGGAATCATAAGGAAAAAATAACATAATTTGAAAAAAACTAGAAAGAGCATGAAAGGTGAAAGCAACTGTATTGCCCGTGGTCATTGGAGGATTGCCCTCCCGGAGGTTCTGAGTTCAAGTTCCACTCTCCCATGGACTGCCATGCCAAACTGGGTCCTTGAGCAAGACCCTTAACCCCAGACTGCTCCCCGGGCAGTGACAGCCCACGGCTCCCCAAGGGGATGGATTAAATGCAGAGAGTGAATTTCCCCATTGTTGGACAATAAAGTTTAAAGGATTTACAGAAGATGGAAATGTTCAAATTAAGCTACATTTTATTTGTCACATTATCTTTTGATTTTGATTGTTAAATGCCCAAACAACTTTCATATTTAACTTAGGTTATACACACAGTAAACCCCCAGTAGAGATGATAATTAAAGCTGAGTTCAGCTTAACAAGAGATCCTACCATTATTTTGGTAAGCTGTCCATATTAATCCACAGAGATCTTCTCATACTTTCCATGACCAGTGATAACAAATTTACTCTTTGTACCATCTGCTGTTGCCTGTGAAGAGATGACACACAAGTTGGTTTATTTTATTTTGCCTTTTTTCCCTCTGAACATACAGAATTCATCATACATATCAGATCAAAACCATACACATTTTACACCCAACAGTATTGATCCTTGTTACTGCTGTCTCTTTGCTCCTTCACTTTGTGACATAACTAAGCATTTTCTGTTTGAGTATTTTGAAAAGAGAGAGAGAGAAAAAAAAACTAGGAACAAGAAAATTTGATGTCAATCTCACCCAATATTTTGCATGTAGGTAATTATCTTTACTACTTTATCAATTATTCACACCATCTCAGAATTGTTTCTGATTGCATCTTTATGGATAATGTTACTCTTTTCTATACCAATAATTTAGAGTTGGAATATCTGATTGTTACCCCTTTTTGGTCAGGACCTCCTTTCTTCCATAAGTAGGATCCTCATTAAATGTTTGTCTCCAGCAGTTTGAGCACTCTGTACTATAGGTCCTTGATATAGTATTCACAAGTCAAATGGAACAATTATTTTTTACAATATTTTCCAAAGATTTTTTTAATTTCTTGCCACAAAAGTTTAAATTTTGGAAAGCCCCAGAATATGTCTCAGCGTCTGGCATTAACTGAGGCACATAACCTCAAACAACCTATACCAATGCCTTGGTGTCTCTTTTTAACCGGGGTGATAAAGAATCACATAATAATTTCCCATCCTATTCACTCCAGCTGTGTAAATAAGTCGTTCTCTATTGTGATTTACAAATGTTACCCCACGCTTTATCAAATATCAGCACTTGTTCTTCTTCCCATTTAGAATGCAGGGTGTTTTGTTGTTTAGAAGTTATAAGCTCAAAATGCGTTCTCTTGCCCACATTGAATTAATGAAGACCCTCAGAGTGCAATTTTTTTTATTGTATCATTCACACACCTGCAGCTGATTCCTTCTTTCCTTAAAGGTATAGAGGATGATCTTTTTTTCCCAGGTGGGTCATCTAAATAAGTGGTCCTCCTAATTGTGAATCATTCTGGTGATATGTTTGTATGCCGTATTAGGAGCAGTGATCATCTAGCCAAAAGTCCACTATATAGTCTCTGCTCTATATACTGTAGTTATTGGGGGATTTAGGGCAGAAGTTCAGGCACAGTAAGCTTGTATGAGCTATGAGAACAGCAACTTTTAAACAAAGAGTGAAAAGGAAAAATTGGCTTGTGCATGCTAAACGCATGCTACCTCTCGAGAGCAGGTATAGGGTTGTGGAGGTGCTTTTTTTTTCTTTAAACAGAGTGGGTGGTTTGAAAAATTTGCGATAATCTTCCGCAATACCTTTAAGGAGTTGTAAACCATGCTTTCCATTTACTGTTAAAAAACAAAGTAAACCTATCTGGCAATGCAAGGTGTTATCATACCTTTAATATCTTAGAAAACTACTTCAGTTGATGCCCACATCTACAAAAATCATTTACTTCAATTACTTCTATTTAGTATTTGCTAAAAAAGGAAGAGGATACTTAGATACACCCTAAAACCCCATAAAGTTACAGAAAACACAATGCCATTGGATTAAGAGGGTATTTAGGTGTATTTAACATCGATGTACCAAAACTGTATGATCCGACATTGAGAGAATAACAGCTAAACATGAAACTCAACTGCCCCTTTTAATATTTTGTAACAGTTTATGCAAACCTTTGGCTTTTGTTCAGTCTTCCGTGATGGGTCTCCAAGTACTTCCCACAGGTGCTTCTTCTGGAGAACATCTCCAGACTTTACATCCTGGAAAGCCATCAAGAACAGCAAAATAAAGTAATTTCAGTACTGACAAGAGACACTGGCCCTTTGAGGAGTGGCAGTCATTACATCATATTTAATTTAATTAATTTACACACAGTCAGCTACCTTCATATGAAGTGATATGAAAGTGATATGAAAAGTAATTTGATTCACCTCAATTAATTCAATCCAATCCAATTATATAATCAAATTCAAATCCAATGACATCAAATTATTTTAATGCCTGACTTTAATCCTTTATGAGGTAGTTAAATACAATTGAATTCAATAAAATTTTGTTCAATTTAATTTCAAAACACAACACATACTAAAGGGACAATAAATGCCTGGTATCTCTTACAGGGTTTTTTCAAACAGTTGTTGTATATTTCATTTGTTTGATGGATCTCCATTAGTCTTTCTTATTAATAGAAGCATTTAACTCTGATGTTGATAACAGTCTGATGAAGAGGTTAGATAGGGGTTGTCCATAATGTTCTTCTTGTTTCATGAACAATGTTTCTATTTAAAACAATTTACAGAGGTTTCAGATGAGTTTCCAGAGCAAATTATTCTTGATCAGCTATTTATGTTATTATTGATTTGCTGTGATGTTGCTACTTTAACAGAAGATGGCAAGCCAGACTAACATACAGAATGATATCCCTTGTGCACACTGCAATTAAGTCTGGCTGGCCAGGCAAAGAAGAGATTATCTTCACAACAGACTTATACAGTATTCAAAAACCCAATAATCTAAGATTCCTGAAGAAGTACAGTGTTCTCTGTCCCTTTTGTAGCCTCGAGTCTGTCTTCTGCTGGAAGTCAGAGATGTAAAGATGTGGCAGTACCACCACCTGTGGGGCCCCTGTGCTTCCGGTTACCTGATTAGACACTTGACCGTTTAGTCTTACAAACTTGTTTGTGAGGTAGTCTTTGAACCTGGCAATTATGAAGGCCTCAACTTAAGCCGTGCCCGGACTGTTCTTGGCAAGGTTTTAAAAGGGTAGTGTACAGGTGCTGGTCATAAAATTAGAATATCATGAAAAAGTAGATTGATTTCAGTAATTCCATTTAAAAAGTGAAACTTGTATATTATATTCATACATTACATACAAACTCATATATTTCAGATGTTTATTTTGTTTAATTTTGATGATTACAAATGACAACAAATGAAAATCTCAAATTCATCATATCAGAAAATTAGAATATTGTGAAAAGGTTCAAAATTGATGGCCCCTGGTGCCACACTCTAATCAGCTAATTAACTCAAACCACCTGCAAAAGCCTTTAAATGGTCTTTCAGTCTAGTTCTATAGGCTACACAATCATGGGGAAGACTGCTGACTTGACAGTTGTCCAAAAGACGACCATCGACACCTTGCACAAGGAGGGCAAGACACAAAAGGTAATCGCTAAAGAGGCTGGCTGTTCACAGAGCTCAGTGTCCAAGCACATTAATAGAGAGGCGAAGGGAAGGAAAAGATGTGGTCGAAAAAAGTGTACAAGCAAGAGAGATAACCGCACCCTGGAGAGGATTGTGAAACAAAACCCATTCAAAAATGTGGGGGAGATTCACAAAGAGTGGACTGCAGCTGGAGTGAGTGCTTCAAGAACCACCACACACAGACGTATGAAAGACATGGGTTTCTGCTGTCGCATTCCTTGTGTCAAGCCACTCTTGAACCACAGACAGCGTCAGAAGCGTCTTGCCTGGGCTAAAGAGAAACAGGACTGGACTGCTGGTGAGTGGTCCAAAGTCATGTTCTCTGATGAAAGTAAAATTTGCATTTCCTTTGGAAATCAAGGTCCCAGAGTCTGGAGGAAAAGAAGAGAGGCACTTCATCCACGTTGCTTGAAGTCCAGTATAAAGTTTCCACAGTCAGTGATGGTTTGGGGTGCCATGTCATCTGCTGGTGTTGGTCCATTGTGTTTTCTGAGGTCCAGGGTCAACGCAGCCACATACCAGGAAGTTTTAGAGCACTTCATGCTTCCTGCAGCTGACCAACTTTTTGGAGATGCAGATTTCATTTTCCAACAGGACTTGGCACCTGCACACAGTGCCAAAGCTACCAGTACCTGGTTGAAGGACCATGGTATCCCTGTTCTTAATTGGCCAGCAAACTCTCCTGACCTTAACCCCATAGAAAATCTATGGGGTATTGTGAAGAAGAAGATGCAATACACCAGACCCAACAATTCAGAAGAGCTAAAAGCCACTATTAGAGCAACCTGGGCTATCATAACACCTGAGCAGTGCCACAGACTGATCGACTCCATGCCACACCGCATTGCTGCAGTAATACAGGCCAAAGGAGGCCCAACTAAATACTGAGTGCTGTACATGCTCATACTTTTCATGTTCATACTTTTCAGTTGGCCAACATTTCTATAAATCCTTTGTTTTTATTGGTCTTCAGTAATATTCTAATTTTCTGATATGATGAATTTGAGATTTTCATTTGTTGTCATTTGTAATCATCAAAATTAAACAAAATAAACATCTGAAATATATGAGTTTGTATGTAATGTATGAATATAATATACAAGTTTCACTTTTTAAATCGAATTACTGAAATCAATCTACTTTTTCATGATATTCTAATTTTATGACCAGCACCTGTATACTGTGGGAAGTATTGGCAACAAGTCTATAGTCATTGAGGACTGCAGTTGAATGTTATTTGGTGTAAGAGCAAGGCAGGAGGTCTTCTACAGTACATCACTGGAAGGTTAGGAAAGTCCCGTAGAAGCTGCTCTGGCCAGGCCTTCATAGGCTGGATCAAAGATAAAGAAACCAGAATAAGTCTAATCCTATTACAATATTTAGAGAAGAGGTGGAGGATGAGTACATATGCCTTGGTATTCACTTAGCCAACAGATTTAACTTGTGAGGCAACAGTGAAGTAATCTACAAGAAGTGACAGACTATTCTGCTTAGAGAAGCTTCAGTCCTTCATTGTTTATAGTGTTTGCTTCTATAAGTTTGTTATCCAGAGTATTATTTCTTCTGTCATTATCTTTTGGGGTAACAGCATCAGAGCAAATAACTCAAACAAGTTCAACAAGCCGATAAAGAAGGCAGGCTCTGTTTAAGGGTCTTCACTGGAACCTCTGGACCACTTCAGTCAAAGGCTTCTCCAGTCTTGCTGCGAGAAATCCCACTACAGATAATCCTTCCTCCAACATGTACTAATATCTAAAACAAGAGTTATTGTAGAAATTGACAGCTTTAGGGAGAAGGTATTGATACTGTAGCTAAAGCTGGTCCACCTGAGGTTGCTTCTACCAGCTTATTTTGCTTAACAGGGGACAAACCATATGCAATTAAATTTTTACACTGATTTTAACTTATGCATAAGGGAGCAACAGATTGCAGCTATGCAGCTAAGGATTGTAAAAAAAAAAAACAGAGTTAGGGAACCAGAGTAGCAGTCTGTGAGATTTGAACCAGGGATTTTGTAGGTGCCTTACTCTAACCTCTAGACAACCACTTTTTACACATGAGAAGAACAACAACAAAAAAACAAAGATCATCTTAAAAGATGAACTTACAGCTGGTCTAAATGATGACTGTTTACTACTGGTTTCTGAGGGGCCTTTCACCCAATGTGTGATGAGGTTGGCCACTCCCACCTTCAGACTGCCAGTATCCTGTTTAAGAAAGTGAATGAAAGATATTAATTTTGATTACATGGAGTTTGATTTAATTGCTATACTAGTGTTCAGGTACCAATGCAAATAAATACAAGTTATTACCTCCACTAAGGAGGTTCATTTTTAGCCAACTTTGTGTGTTTATTTCTTTGTTTGTCTGTCCATCTGTCTATGTAAAGGATTTTAACAAAAATGTTTACCAAAGGTGCACCTCAGTGCAAGGTAAAGTACAATACATTAAATGTTGGTGATGATCCACATCATAATCACAGTGTATTTTTAAAGCATTCTTTGATATTATCTATATTATTATATAACAAGCAGTTCCCCTTAAACCAGAAAGCAGCAGCAGTGTCTTTTGACAGCTCAAAAAAGTCTGTAATATACTTAAGAAAAACACAGAGAAAAGGTGAGCCATGCCTCGCTTGAAGTCTTGATTTGCTGATCAAAGAAGAAAGCAGAGCGCAGAGTGAATGAAGAAGGTGAGAGCAGAACAAACACCAGAGGCTTCAGACACACAGTGTGCCTTATTTGTAAACTTATGAAAGGATTGCAAGGAAATTTGCACTGTCTGAGTGATTTTCTAGTTAAAAATGTGTTTGTATCCTTCATTTTATCTGGTTTAGGTTTAACACTGTGATGATCAATGGAAGATAAATACCTGTTTTGTATATTCTCCAGTAATGTGCAGTAAAGAGCACATCTAACAAAAAACTTTGCAGACCAATATTCTGCTAACCGAATATAAACTTTGCTAGGACAGAACAGCCTAACTTATAATCTAAACTGAGTATATTTAATGTTTTTCAGCAAACCTAAAGTGCCTAATTTAATAAAAGCTAAATGATAATATAAACGTTTCCACAGTAAGCAAAAGGCACTAATCATCTAAACAAACATAACGGTAATATTACTGGCTGTCAACAGATAGCAGAAAATATTTTGCAAGGGCCTTTTTTATTTATTGTGTAAAACAACACAAAGCCAATCTGCTTCCTTAGTCAATCTGTTATCACTAAAGCAATACTTTTTGTGGATTTAAAATTGAACAGTACATTTCTCAACCAGAAGTAGAAAACATAGTAGTGTTGATTGCACATGATCTGTGGTTTCCAATATTTTCTAAGCCTTTTGTCTCGTCTAAGAGTAATAGCAATTTCTTTAAAGAGTTTTTCACAATATAGGCCATTCATAGGATGCCTTTAGGTGATCATAATGTGTCTGCATGTTTCCTTAGGTGCATGGTGCACAAAATCAGGCTGCATGGTCGCTGCATGGAGGACCGTAGTTGCTTAAATAAATTTGTTCTTTCATTTGGTCAAGGACCAGGCTTTAGACAAAAAATGTTCTAACCATACTGCATATATAGTTTGATTGAATTGACTCTGAAAATTCCCTAGAGATGACATGTGCTGTGAATTTTGCTCTATATGGAAAAATTCAATTAAATTTATAAGGTGCCATATTAAGTTCATATAATCAAAATTTCCTCAAACTGCATAAAACACTATATAGGCATGTAAAACAAGGTTTTAAAACGTGTTTAAAAGTCAGAGTTGTTACATATTTTCATCATTGTTATCTTATGGTTTGACATCTCTTCAATAAGATGAAACAGAAAGTGTTACAATGAAAGTTCGGTTAGAGTTATAACAGTTGCAAAATTAATTTACATTGAGACTCTAGAGAAAACTATGTTTGCTCCTGCCACAATAAACATGATATATCTTTAACTATTTGTCAGCAACAATTTGGATATTTTGTTACCTTGGATGGGACCCCCTTTTTTGTATTCCAGGCCTCTCCAGCCTCATACAGATTCTTTTTGGTGGCAACAACCTCTGGGGAGCTGGGTAGATCAGTAAGCGATGACTTTGTTGCACGGGACTCCAGGGAGTTCTTTTAAAAGATAAAGCTGTTTTAGTAATACTTTGACCCTTTAATTCTTCTGTAGCATGTTTTAGATAATCATGAAAAGGCTTGATTGATGCAAAGAACCACAATCTGTACAGTATATAAGTCATAGAGTCAGTGTAACAATGAGATTCATCCATCCATCCACCCATTTTCCATCACGCTTATCCGAGCTGGGGTCATGAGGGGTGCTAGTGCCTATCTCCAGCTGTCTGCAGGCGAGAGGCAGGGTACACCCTGGAAAGTCGCCAATCCATAGCAAGGCAACACAGAGACAAACAGGACAAACAACCTTTCATGCACATACTAACTCCTAAGGAGAATTTAGAGAAGCCAATTAACATGGGAGGAAGCCGGGGTACCCGGAGAGAACCCATGCAGGCTCAGGGAGAACAAGCAAACTCTGTGCAGTTCTGGCAAACAAACCCAGAACCTTCTTGCTGCAAAACTGCAGTGGTACCCACTGCACCACTGAGCAGCCTACAATAAGATCCAAATTATTAGAAATGTTAGAATAGAATCATTAATAATATAAATTATTAATGATTCTACTGGATAGTAAAAATCTGACTTTGGGTGCTTTAAACATGTGTGTCTGTGTGGGATGCTAACCTCCACAGCGTGAGTGTATTGCTCCAGCTTGTCATCAATTTTCGTCAGAAGGAGAAGAGGCTGAGTCTTCTTGAAGCTGTTACTAAATGAAGCACAACATGGTACTGAAGTCAGTTAAACTGAAAGTTACAGGTTGGTAATAAAATAAGACACATTTGTTTTCCTTAAGCTGTGTAATTTTTCGTTGCATTCCCGTGATAAGATACATAAAAGCTGTCTGTTGATCATGGTGTGGTACGGTGCCCATCCTGTATTAACTCCCTACAGTGTCTCATAGAAGCAGCTTAGAGCAATGCTGCATAGCATACATTGCTGCATAGCATATACTGCTGCATAAATGATTGTTAACTGCATCTACCTCGTTGATACGGTAACTTAAAATTAACCAAAGCAGATGTTCTGTTTTTATTACTTTTCATGGCAACTCTTTCTGTAGCTACATTTTCTTGATAACGTTTCCGTCTTTTTTTAAAGGACAGAATTCGATTACAGATGCTAATAAATAATTCTATATCCTGTCTTCAGAAAATATCAAGTGTGAGGCTGATTTCTTAAATACCAACACCAAGTCAAACTAGGTGTTATTTATATGAACCTATAAATCCTCACAGAGGCATGGCTTTCCCTGAGAGTTCCTTAGAGCTGATAATTTCCTGGAGGAGACTGGCTGGAGCCGCCATTCCTCATCTGAAACCAGAGAAAACACAGTCCCTGACATCTGAACAGAGTTAAGAAGAGCGATGAATCACAACTTGGGAGTATGATAAACTGAGTAATGTGTGGAGGTCTCCCTTGACCCTCTTCCTTGGGTTGCCATGTATATCTTAAGTTTAGAAAACTAGGGTTAACCATCAGCTTTAAAGTAATTTGGACTTAGGGTTGTTGAAACAGTCATTCATCTCTAGGCAAATTTTATAGAAAATCAATTTTTTTCCTACCCAAGTTGAGGGTGATTTAGACTGATTAATAATTTTCTTCCAACTTACTCCTTTTGTATACTAGGGCTGCTAACATTCCTACAGAACACTATGGAATTGAAGAAAACATGCTTGAAAGCAGCTGTAGAAAAGCTGCTTTTAAAAGAAATATTGAAATGTTCTTTCTCAAGAAAAATTTCTATTTTTGTAATACAGATATTTTCTTATATTTTTTCTCCCCTCTCAGCAAAAAAAATACTTTAGCGTTAGATGGTTTTATGAAAGAATATAGTTTTTAAGTTAGAATCTTACAAACTTCTTAATCACACATTTAATGAAAAAAAGATTAATGCAACACAGGTGAGAATAACGGTTCAAAAAATCAAAAAGGTACAACTTAGAGGTCACTAAATGCAAAAGCTTCAATGATTTAATCGCATTTAAAACCAAAACAATAAATAAATGAACAAATGTTTTCACTAGTTTATTTTAGGTAAAAGTGAACTTATCTCCCAGTAATTGTCTAAGGCATCTATTTTACAAGGCAGTCTGAGCACTCTTGCTAATTCTGTACCATTCTTTAGTTGTGTCTCTGGACTACATACAATAAAGGCCACAAATGACCCTTGCACGGGTTTTTTTTTTAATCCTCTGCCTTTAAAGCTATGAACAACTTGAGTTTAATGTCTCAAATGTCTCAAAATAAAAATATCTAAGCATGGTTACCTTTTCTTTAGTGAACGGTTCAGGGAATTGGTTCTCTCTGCAATCTAAAAAAGAAGGATTTAAAAATTAGCTTTATAAAAAGTTCTCTGACTTAGATTTGTGCATGAAAAAGTATTTCAGCTAGTTGAAAAGACATTTTGAGTATACTCCCATACTCAAAATGCCACCCCCCCCCAATATAACATCATTACATTAACAGTATTTATATAGTAATTACACTTTATGTCGCTGAAGCAATTCAAGCACAAACATTATAGATTGTAAAAAGGTTTGCATGATACATGCTTTTTTTAAGTCCAACATTTTTTTTTTTTTTGCCTGATGGACTTTGCTAAAGTTTAGTTGAAGTAATGGGTAAAAACATCCTTACCTGTAGTAAACAGTTTTCAAAAAAGCTTGCAGTTAATATAAATCCTTTCTTTAAAGCAATGAAGCAAACAGTGAAAGGATTAGTGGGCTATATCATCCACCTCATAATCCAGTGTAGAAGATCAGCTTATGGTGAGTCTGTTGCCATAAATATAAGGCAACAGAAATGCTAATAAATACAGGAAAGTATTGGCTCCATTTATTTAGTTGAATCTTGGTTGATCTAAAACAGACCAGTGAGCAACTGAGGGCTCAAACAACTTTGCAAAAACCCTCCCATGTTGTTTGGCTGAATAAAACAAAACCAAATTTAAATGTACTGTTACATTTTTAAAATAATTGACTGTTAACATATTGCTTTATCATCCAGCAAGAAAACATTTAGGCTTTAGCAGAAAAAGCACTGCAAAGCCCTACTGTAATTTGAGTGTTGTTCCATTTCTCCTGGCAAATAATTTAGCTTCTTGAAGGCCTAAACCTGACAATGTTGAACATAAAGGGAAAAAGCAAATAAAAGACTAAGAAAATATTGGCAAAATTCAGAGGGTGTGGCAAAAATCTCCTCAGCATCCATTTTGTGTTAAAACAAAAATACACAAGCTGATGCACTTATATATTGGAAATCTCCAAAAAAAAGAAAAATTAATTCTTGTCATTATATGTCCATCCTTTCAGTTAAATGCAATTCTACCAACTTTTATGTCTTTCTCACTTAGATAATGCTAATCAACTATTCCAATTGGAAATATTTCAGAATAAATATTTGCTGTCTGATGCATAAGGTTCTCTTTAGTATTTCCACACCGGAGCAATTCTGAATCTGAATCAACTGACTTAGAAAGTAAGAAGGTTTTTCCTAACATTTATAGTTCTACGCGCTCTTATGGAGTGAATATTGTTCCATTATTGCAAACACAAAACATGTTTTGTAATTCAAAATTCACAAAAGATTAAAAACAATGAAATAACAAAAAGATTACGAGTCATTCTTCTGTATTCTAAAAGGTTTTTTTTTTTTTTTTACTTATTGTTTATTTCCTTTTATTGTTTCAACAGTCCTTTTCATTTATTGTGGTAGCCTATTTGTAGGACTATTGTTAATCTGTTTTTCGGGGGTATTTTTTGCTTTTCAGTTTTTTTATATGATTTTTTTTAAGTCCACCCAGAGGAGGGCTGACTGTCTGAAAACTATACTCGAGTAAGACCCCCATTACTTCATCATATTTTCACTAAATTTAAAGCACTAAAATGCATCATATCATCTGATTTAATGAAAAAGTTTTATCATGATGTGAAATTATCTTATCTTCAGTAGATATTCTTCCCCATCCACAGCAATGTTGGACCTTCGAAAGGAAGAGAATGTGATCCGAAAAATGCAATTTGAAAAGAATGTTATTTGTAAAACTTAGTCAGGAAAAAAAGAAAGGATACGTAATAAAAGAATACAAATCATTTCAAAAAGAAAATCTGAGAAAACAGAAAAGTTATCTCCAAAACCATTTTTTTTTTATTAAGAAGTCTTGGAATGCTTCGGATTGCAGTGTTTTTAAATATCCATTTAGAAAATATATTAATTGCCTCCAACAAAGTTGAAACAAAATTCACTCCATACATTTACACCTTCCAAGATATATGGCATTTCCCTTGTATACCATAAAACCCTAAAGGTTTGTGCAAATGAACCTGAAAGTTTCCACCCATTTGTCATTGAGTCCATTCTCTCTCCTGTGAAATCTGTGTTTTCTTTTTATCCAAAAACTCTGTGGGAAAATGTGCGACACACACATGCAGTATGTTATACACATCTGTTCATAGAACCTTACTGTTGACAAAGACAACATCAAGAGGTGTTAAGGTGCAGCCAGGTCATGCCAAAGTCACACAAACACACATGCAAACTTACAACAGCAACATGACTGAAACCGTCAGCTGTGGAAAATATATACAGTTCCAGGTTAGCTTGGACATTCTTTATTCAAATGTATCTCATAAAAGTCTGTTAAACATTAAATAAGAATGTGGTATGAAGTTTCTTTATGGATTTGTTGTTTATATTGGATTAACTGTGATATTGGATAAAACGCTTCTGTATTTTTGTCTTTTATTTTACAAAAAGTTAGCTTAGTGTATCTCAAACATTATTTTGAATAATTATCTAAGAAATTTAACAAAAATAACAAAGAATTCAAAATATATTATTATCAATGGCTTATCCAGTTGCATAATTTCAGCTTTTGTTTTCTTTTATCCCTGAGAAAAGATAACTTTGTCCAAAATGCTTTTTCACTGTTTTCAGATATATTTGCAGTCTCTAATTGAACAAACAGTCTGAAAACCAGGATGATACGTTAGATATTATCTTTTATGAGATTTTGCTTTTGCAGCTGTATCTTGATTACAGATTGAAGAGAAAAGTCTTTAAATGTTTATAGCTATTGAAATGCTGCATGATTCAGCAACCACATAAACCTGGCAGGCTGTTCAGACAAATGCTAAATGTAATCTATCGGGAGTTGTCTGGATATACTGCGTGCTTTTTTTTTAGATACCTTTGGTGTTGAAACTTTGGGAGTAATGGGACTAAACACCTCCTCTCCATCTGTGCTGGATGTACTCAGAGTCTTCATCCTTTCTGCTGCCTCCATTCTCCTCTTATCCATATCTTCCTTCATCTTTCTTCTTTCCTCCTGCATAGAAGGCCAAAAACACTTTATTATACTATAAAGTATAGTATATCATAAAATTCCATCATGATCACTCTTCTGCAAACTCACCTTTCCCATGATGTTAAACTAAAAATTTTAAATCATGTCAATTTTTTTTATTTTTATTCTGTCTCTTTAAACTTCCCTTATCATGTTTGTTCAGTAAAGAATAAAAAGCTGTTTAAGTTGGTTTATTAAAACATTAATAAAAAGGAGCATCAACATGTTTACGCTGAATCAGAACAATCTTTATTTATGTCCAAAAGGGCAAATAACCTTACTAAAAAAAAGTCATTTCCCAGTGGACCATAAAGATCATTTTAATTTGTTGTGTAAAAGACAAAATAGCAGGTTGTAGTAGTGCGAAAAGGGTTATTTTAAATCAAGCAGTGTTGCTGATTACTAACAGTTACTAGTTTGGTACAGAAGGCCTACAACTTCCGAATGGATCATTTCAGACCTTAAAAAACAAACGTTTAACTGAAGCTAACTATCTCAATGCATATTTAAAAAATGAAGAACTCTTATATCTGTTATTCGATTAATTTATTTTTTGTTTATGTTCATGTATATGTGTTTTTTTTTTTTCTTGTGCCGATTCGCCCCCCACATCAGTGACTCCAGTGGAACATCTAGGAAACTTATGAATAGACTGTTTTACTTTTATTTTTTGAGTTACTTTTACTTGAGTAACCTTTTCAACAAAATGTTCATTTAGGAGTAGTTTTACCAGACTGTACTTATTACTTTTACTTGAATAATATTATTACAAAGTATTGCTAGTTTCATTTGAGTAAAATTTCTAAATACTCTACCCACTGTAAGTGAGGTTATTGCATAAAGAAAGGACTTGTTTTAGCAAAAGAGGCGCTGATCACACACCTTGATTAAAGAAGGACTTCTTGTTTTTACATAAACTTCTGTTAACTGTTCTAACATATACTTAATCGCCAAAAATGTTGAGGCACGGCTCAAAATCAGTGAATTTGGGTTTTCCCACATTCCTTTACAATAATACTAAGTAGTGTTTTCATGTTTTTTATGTGTTTTCATATCTTAAAAAGTATTTTCTAAGAAATGATCTTTTCGCAATTATTTATAGATGACATGAATATTAAAGTAGTGTAGTGTCTAATCAGATGCTATAATGAGTTGTTATTATCTAAGTAGCATACTTACCAAAGGCCTTTTACTCTTATCTAATGATTTCTTGATCTGCCACTTTTTACTTTTACTTAAGTACCAATATGTAATCAATTTTTTGGTTACTCGACCCTCCTTTGATAAATATATCCACCTGAATAATAAACAGGGCTGGAGGCATAACACTGCTGCTCTACAGTAGCAGCCATTCAGCATGAAAGAAAAACTCATTATAAAGTCCACCTTTCTTCAAGGATGTCCCACTGAGTCAGTGAAGGCAGTGGGACACAGAAGGGCTGCAGAAAAAATATCTTCCCTTTTAGAAAATGAATTCAGTGAATGATTCTGCAACCTAAACATGCAAACAAGGTTTATCACAGATCTTTCTTTACTGTAGCTGTTTGATCTTTCTAACCATCACTGTTATAAAGAAGCCTTCTAGGTGTTTTTGCACTCATGCCATGATTTGTACACTTTTTTCTTTTTGTTCTGTAAATGATTGTTCTTTTCTCAACTATGGTTAGATATGCAAATTGTATGGCTCACCAGTTGCCTCACTATGTTGCACATTTATTCAGTTTAATCTGTGCATGTCCTTTTTGTAATTACTTTATTTATTTTTGGAAAATTCTACTAGTATATTGTTGCTTCTATTTTTTTTTTTTGTCGCTCATACATTAGAGTTTTCCCCATTGCTGTACAATAACTTATTCCACTCTATTCTGTTCTGTTTGGTTCTATTCAATTCTATTCTGTTCTGCTCTATTCTATTCTATTCTATTCTATTCTATTCTATTCTATTCTATTCTATTCTATTCTATTCTATTCTATTCTATTCTATTCTATTCTGTTCTATTCTATTTTATCTTTTCTATTTTATTCTATCTATTCTATCTGTTCTATTCTTTACTATCCTGTTCTATTTTATTGTAATCTATTCTATGCTGTTCTATTCTATAGTTCAACCTTTGAGTGTACCTACATAAAATCTGTGTAAACTAGTCCTTAGTTCAAAAAGTTTTGCTTTTGGAGCAACAGGATGAGCACCTCCTCTAGAGCCAGCTGTTGCCTCTCCTCTTCCTCCCTTTTGCGCTCCTCTTCTGCACGAGCTCTGCGCCTCTCCTCCCTCCTCTTCTTCAGCTCCTCCAGCTCCTGCTCGGCCTCTATCTGTCTGTGTCTTATTTGCTCCAGCTCCTGACTTTCCTTTTCTTGCAAGCTCTGACGGATTTTCTCCAGTCGCTGCTCAGCTTCCAGGAAGGGCTTTGCTTCCTCTGACTCTGCAGTTTTTCTGCATACAGGAAAAGATTACCTTGATTTAGGTTCTGGACAATGAAACACCACATGGGACTTTGTTATAAGCCCTTGCATTTTTTCCTGAATATGACATTTGTAGTCATAAAATAGTCTTACATTTTTACTGATTTTGACGTATATACAAAATTAATCAGTAGATGATCAGAGTGATGATATTAGCAGATTGTTCTGCTTTGCTCATGCTTGAAAAGGAAACATCTGTTTCTTTCAGATGCTGGATAGATAAACTGGAATTTGTTTAGATTATTTTCTAATTCACACCACTCACCTGCTGGATCTGTTCATTTGGTTCTCAGATGATGTAACTTCCTTACTGGTAGTGACACTCCTGGGGCTCCTGTGTTTTGGTTCTTGGCAAAGGAAAACCTTCGATGTGTAGGACACTCTAGCTTCTTTCTTTTCCACTGCCTGTTTGCCAAAAAATAGATTTTCTTTCATGGGAGTATTATTAAGGAAATGTTGTCTGCTTAACATTCTTCAGTATATTAATATGAAGATGAATGACTTTACATTGTCCATTTTATTTTCCACTTCTCTTTATGTTTCTGAATGATATAACTCGAATGAGTTGAATTTTCTGGAAATATTCCATCCAACAAGTTATTCATTGTTGATGCCCACTTAACTTTAAGGGATGATGGGCAACTGGTGCCTCTGGACAGGTTTCCAATTCATCACAGGGTAACAATGAGACATGAAGGTCAAACAAACATGCACAAAAACCCTTACAATGATCAATTTAGAGACAGCTAACAATCTAGCAGACAGGTTTTCAACTGTTGGACAAAGCCAGAGTACTTGGAGATAACTCATGGATGCAAAGAGGGGAAAAAAGTAATTTGCCTAAAGACACATAATGTCTGACTATGCATCTTAATTTTCTTTGCTAAACTTATAGAAATTTCATAAATCTTAGGATTTGAAAAAAAAAAAAAGAGCTTTAAGCCCACTTGCCTGTGCTGTAATACATTTTTATGAACTTAAAAAATGTAAAATGCTTTATGAACTGCATATTATATAAAACTGTGTAGAACTGGTGATGGTTTTGTGATCTCATGAGGGAATGGATGTCGACCTTCAGATCATGGTGCTCATTTGGGGTACTTAAGCAAGTATTGAGAATCAATGTTTTTAATAATTTAACTCTTCCAAAAATAGTATTTTAGAATCTAAGACAATATTTCTTCAAGAGTTAAAGGTAGCAAAATGTCAAATATCATCATCATGATGATATTTGACATTTTGCAACCCTTATCTCCGTCTGTAGCTGTACTAAGAAAGGTTTAGGCAGCTATATACTGACCCATTTTCCTCACTTTGCCACTTTCTTTTGCTGCCATTTAATTTAGCATCTTCAGCTGTTAATGAAAAAAATCTCTTTTCTTTGATTTTATTTTGCTGTTGTTGCCAAAAATCAACTAAAAAACAACAAAAATAAATAAATCTAATGAGCTCCACAAATCAATGTTACCAATTGTCTCTCCTTCACCTGCAGTTCATTAAGAACTCTGCTGGATGTCTTGTAACATGGACTGGAGTATTTAGGATATTAACATGGTTTGCACTCCCAAACTGACTAAAATGGAGCAATGAGAAGGTCTGTCCAAATGCTCCTGGTAAAGTGGAAGGCCTAATTAAAGCACTGCAGGGATAGATAGGGCTTTTACAGTCACTCCCTAGTTTCTGGAATAAAAAACCCTGGCATTCATACAACCCATACTTTACAGGATTCTTTTCAACATTGGTTTTTAATTTAATCTTAGTTCTATTACTTCTGTTAGGGCATGATTTTTCACACTTTATCACGGAAATCTCCCTTTATTGTCCGTTTTAATTTTTTGATTAATATTTTGTGAATTGCTTTCTTTTTACCCCTTTGTGAGTCAATCCGGTGACATCATTGTTGTTATGAAAGGGGATGTATCAACAGGATCTAAATTGAAATGAATGAATAAAATGCTGCTGTATTTATTTTAAAAAAGCCTTACCTCTGTATTTGGCCTTTGAATCTCCTTTACTGTTCTTGGTAAAACTTCCTTCTCTTTCCTTCTCTTGGCCTCTTCCTCTTGTTCTTTCTTGCTCTCCACCTTTGCTGTGATGATGTCACTTTCCTCCTGCTGACGTCTTTGGAATCGATTGTAAGGCACGGAAGGCTCTGGAGGCTTTTTGACTACATTATTCTTTATAAAGACATTTTCATCAGCTTCCTCCTCTTTGCCGTTGAGGCTCAGCTCCTGAAGATGCTGCAGTCTTTGTTTCTCTTTGCGCTGAGTCCAGTCACTAAAGCCCTCATCTTCCTCAAGAGATGGAAAACTGCTGGGTTTTAATTCATATCTGAAGATAGAGACAAGACTGTTTTAACTGTAGTATTTGGGTGACATACTTATTATCATGTACCTTTCAAATAAGTATTTATAAACTGAAATCGCAGCCATAAATGATGACTATTTAGTTGTGTTTAATTCACCAAGCAAAGCTTGTTGCAAATGTCTCCTTTTGGGTGCTAGAAAATCTGAGAGACATCTACAGTATAGTCAGGAAGTGAGTTAGTTTTCTGCAGAGTTCCCTTTCATTGACGGATTGGGTTTCAAAGGTGTAGGATGATTGCATTTCGAGGAACCGATTATGGAGGCCTGACTTTATTGATTAAACAATTAAAGAAGATTTACTCTGTGTTTGGTGTTTCTGTGTGAATTAGTTGTATGGCATGATCAATATTGAGCAAATTAATGGTAAAAAAAAACATATTTTTAGTAGGTAAACAAACATCAAAAGTTTTGTTTTAAAAATATCCACGATTGGTTGTAGCAATTACCTTTATCTGTAAAAAAAAAAAAAAAATGCTCTAATTGATAAGAATGTAGAAATCAGAGATGATAAAGATGAGGAGGAAGAAGAGGGGAGAGTTGGCTGAAGAAGCTGCTGCTGCTGGGATATGCTGACCCAGATGGAGAATACTGGTACACAGACCTCCAGTTTCTTACTGAAGCTGTTTACAGTTAAAATCCGGATCAAAATAAATTAAATAAGTATTTCCCCAGATATGTCAGAATGATGTTATAATGACTAAAAGTTTTTAATGTTAGCTTCTGAGAACTTTCCGACCTGCTCCAATTCAACATTTGGTGCAGAGTTTTGTACACTTTAAATGAGATTAAGTTATCTTTTAAATGCATTTCTGTAAAATAGTTTAGATTAAAATGAATAAATGGCTATTTAAGTTTCCTCTCTTTTTTTGTACTGTGTATGATTTCCACTTTTAATCAGACTTGACTCTTTGAGTTTCCCCCAGTGTGCTGTTAACAGTGTTATGTGTCTCTGGGAGATGGCAGAAGGAATTCACTCAGCATTCCACAAATGATTAGAACTCTTGATCACCCATTGGAACCCCAACTCACTGCCTGATCATGGTTAAGATAACAACCCTAAACAAACACTAGAGATTCTATTTTAGTGTCTGGAAAAACGCTTACAAAGCAGTTCTTGAGGTGATTGTTTAGGAAGGAAAAGATCTTCTGCATCAGAGGGCATTCCAGGTAATGCACTACAGAAAAGATCTTAGTGTTAAACTGCTACAAAACTACTAAATCCTTTAACTTCCCTAAAATGTTTATTTGAAAGGGATCGCTGCTGCATCTAGTCAAAAGTTCTGGAAGTGACTTAATGTTGAATCACAGCCTCAGACTAGCTGAGACACAGATGAGATGGACGAGGTGTTAGAGTGGTAAGCAATAATTTACAGGCCTTAATTACAAGTCTGCTTCCACACCACAGACTGAGGCATGGTGATCCTTTACCTTGGAGACATTCTCTGCATGCTTTGTAATGACAAAAGAGCCTTGGGTTCAACATCAGATCATCACAGGATGGGGATTTGAAGGGAAATCATTTCCTGCTTCTCTCAGTGAGGTTTTCTGTCCTTACAATGTATGTCATCAGTAAAAGACGGCAAATAAGCTAACATGGGTCAATGCAAAATAAAGTCACAGATGTCTGCTTTGATTCAACCTTGTCTCCTAGCAGAGGATTATCAGTATTAAGCACTAAAAAGTGTTAAAACAAAAAGGGAAATTATTGGAAAAATACCTAATAATAAAAAGCTAAAATGCAAGAAAACAAGACCTAAATAGGAAAATTAGAAACAGGTAGTAGAAATGTTTACGGTAAATAAAATCAAGACCCAAGCACCTCGGAATTATGATAGTGATGAAATATAGACTTCATAACTGCAGGTTAAGAACTTCTTTTGAAAGGAAAGCATCAGGAAAAACTGGCGGTTATGTTACTTATTGTTATGTATAGAGGGATATGTTGTTACAAGACAAGTTTGACAATTACTACAATAGTAATAAGATAATTTTTATTTATTGTTAAGGTCACAATAATAGTTTGAACACCAAACCAACTGCCATCAAAAATCTTTTACTCAAACAGAAAACTCAGATCAGGTCTAGAGTAATCCAGCTGTAAAGGCATCATAAATTTATGTGCAAAGCAAACAGGAAATAAATTAATTTCAGTGCATGTTGGAATTTTGTACTTAATGATACATTTATTTATTTTTTTGGTCAAGACTAGATCATAATAATATTTTAAAGTTGTATTTTAATAATTAATTAATTGATTATTTCTAGTGTACACAAAAACCCTACAACAAGGACATTAAGTAAGTAAGGAAGTCTGCAATCAAGTCTTGTTTATCCAGCAAAATTGAAGACAAACCCATTTCTAGTTTCATTAAAAAGCTGAAGATGAGGACAGCCCTTATGCATACTCACATGTTCCTCTCCTCTGGTGCCTCATTCTCTGGAGATGAGTCTTCGGGTATTGAGCTGCTGTTCCTTCGGCGTAAAGATTCTCGAGCTTTTCGGCGACGTTCCCGTTCCACCTCTTCAGCATCCTCAATACTCCTCTGAGCAGTGAGTCTGGGAAAAAAAAGTATAATTATTACTGAAATGAGTCGAGCTGTACTTAATTTATCTTCATCTATTTCTCTTTCTTTTCTTGGATATTAAGCTTATTGATCTTGGACCAAAGTTTACATTTTGTGATACCAAGAGATTTGTACGAGATATATATTCAGATATAAATCTAACATTTAGAAAAATAAATGCAGGTATACATTTTTCGATTTACATACATTTTATTTTTATTTATGTTTACTTATTGATTTGAATAAGGACAATGCACATTTATCAACATGTCAACTCAAAGCATCGATATAAATATGCCAGAGTTAGCACTACAGCTAACTTGTATCTATTATCAAGAGGCATAAATAACATATTTATATTGGGATCAACATATATTAACATAACATATATTCATAGACACAGGAGTACAAAATCAGTTCATCAAAGAGAGTCCAAATCAACTTAACATATATATTTTACATATGCCTTTAAATCTGAGTAAAATGTGTCATATTAAAATAAATATCATAAATGTGAGATTGAAATTCTTTTTACAGTTTTACAACCGGTGAAAATTTAGAGTTCAAACATGTCAGAAAAAAGGTAGAGAAGCACATTGCTTGATTTGCATACATCAAAGAGTAAAAAAAAAAAGAGAGAGAGAGAGAGAGCTCCTTAAAGCCAATTTCAATGTCAATGATATTAATTCAATTTACAAAAATGTATATTTGGAAAGGTCAAAAGACATTAACAGTCTGCACTGCACGATATTATTTTGCTTTGCTTCACCTAGTACCTAGTACCCAGTATCACCCTTTGCACCCTAGCACCCTAGCTTGTAGTGTCAACAGTGTGAACAGATAGATGACAGAGTTTATAAAGGGTGAGAAAGAACAGCAGGAAGCAACAATGCCACAGCAGTTCAGTCACTGACACATTAAGAAAAAATTGAAATCTAGATAAGTCCTTTTTTCTTAAAATAAGTGCTTTTGTTCTTGGATTGAGGAGGTAAAGAGACACCTTGCCAATGGAACAAGACAATTTACACTTAAAATAAGAAAACACAATTGCATTGTCTTATTTCAAGTGCATGTTATCTAAATATCCTATTTTAAGAGTAAAAATACTCATTCCATTTGCAAACTATCTTATTTACCTACTCAAATTAAGGGTAAATACCGGTAATTTAAAACATTTTCACTTATTTCTAGATCGTTTTTCCAGTGCAAATAAGTTCAAATGAGAGCCACGAGTTAGAAAATATTACTATATTATAAAATTATTTTGTGGGTTCTGTAAAATATTTGGCAAAAGTTGATTCTTACTTCACTGTTTTACTATTAACTGATCAAAAATGGAAACGGAAAAAAGGTCCTCTACAATAATAAACAAGTATGTTCTTACATTTGACTGAAACATATTTAAAATCTCTTATCTGCTGCTACCATTTGTTCTGTTGTTTAGCTGTGGCATTAGCTTAAAGATCCCTTTGAGATCACTCAAAAAAGAAAAATTATTTTGTGGCAAGTTTGACAAGTTCCCAATATTGAATTACAGCATTTATATTTGTAATACATACACACAGATAAATAAAAGCCTGCTCAGCAGAAAGAACTCATCTGTAGGGACACAATGTTGCAAAGGCCTAAAACAAACTGTTTCTCCCAGCAAGGAGCTTTTCTCCGTTCTTCTGTTGGTCGCCTGTAAACTGACACTTGAAGCGAGAACAGACACGCTGTCTCATAATACAATGGCTGACAAGGTTCCCTTAAGCACTGGAGGTCAGAAGCAGTTTAGGAACAATGATTTATGTTAAACAGTGGATGAAGTTTAATGACTCAAAATTCCTAGAAGAAATTCAGTTTCTGTTTTAAATTTTTTTTATGTTACATCTCAAGGTACTTACAAAGAACAGCAGCTGCATTGACTTAGACTTTTTGTATACACAGAGTGCATAACAGTGGGCTGCTCAGTGGCGCAGTGGGTAGCACTGCTCCCTTGCAGCGAGGTTAAAGGTCCGATTCCAGACCCGGGGTATTTCTGCGTGGAGTTTGCATGTTCTCCCTGAGCATGCATGAGCATGCGTGGGTTCTCTCCGGGTACTCCCGGCTTCCTTCCACAGTCCAAAAAGATGACTGTTAGGTCAATTGGCTTCTCTAAATTCTCCTTAGGTGTGAGTGTGTGTGTGAATAGTTGTTTGTTCTGTTTGTCTCTGTGTTGCCCTGCGGTGGACTGGGGACCTGTCCAGGGTGTACCCCGCCTCTCGGCCATTGACAGCTGGAGATAGCACCAGCACCCCTCGCGACCTTGGAATAAGAGTGATGGAGGATGGATGGATGGATGGATGGATGGATGGATGGATGGATGGATGGATGGATGGATGGATGGATGGATGGATGGATGGATGGATGGATGGATGGATGGATGGATGGATGGATGGATGGATGGATGGATGGATGGATGGATGGATGGATGGATGGATGGATGGAGTGTATACCAAACAAAATTTAGTTAAGTACAGCTTTTCAGACAGTAAATGAACATTTCCATTTAATAATGTGCAGCAGTGATCAAATGTAAACAGTGTGGAAGAAAAAACATGGTGCAAAAACTGCATTGATATGGAAGTTCAGAGCATTAATATCTATGGTGCAAATATGCAGTATTTTTTGGTTTTGTGTTATCAGTGAGATGAAGAATCTGTGACATGATTGAGTTTTTTTCAACAGTTAAGCAGTTTGATGGCAGACCCTGCTGGACCTGCATCGAAAGCTGTGAAGTCTCTTCCCAGAGGGCAGCTGGGAGAACAGTCCATGGTGGGGGTGTGAGGGGTCATTGATGATGTTACTTGCTCGGGACACGCAACGCTGGGATGAAATGTCTTTAATGGAGGGAAGAGGAGCCCTGATGATCTTCTCTGCTGTTCTCACCACTCTCCTCACCTTCTTCCAGTCTGAGGCGCTGCAGCCTCCACACCACACAGCGAGACAGCTGGTCAGAACGCTCTCTATGGAGCTTCTGTACAAGGTAGCGAGGAGGGTGGGGACAGGTGGGCTCTCCTCATCCTCCGTAGGAGGAGGTGGTGTTTACATTCCAGGTGAGGTTGTCTGTGATGTGCACGATGAGCAGTGGAGCATGGTTAGGCCTGTTCTTCCTAAAGTCAAAGATGATCTCCTTCGCCTTTTCCACATTCAGGATCAGGCTGTTATCTCTGCACCAGTCCACCAGCTGCTCCACCTGCTCCACCTCCTCTGTAGTCCTGGTCGTTGTCATCTCTAATGTGGCCCACCACCATTGCTATTATAAAATTGTGTAAAACTATACGATATTCAGCTAATATTGAAAAGGAAACATTTCATAATAGCAGTATTTCCAAAAAAAATAACAAATACAATTAAAATTGCAGGAAAATACTTTTGTTCCTTCGATAACTCTGAAACTAACATGGTAGCAGGGGATGTAATTATGATCTTCTGATCTTTTTCTTCATCTTTTTAAGTTTTTTTTCTTGTGTGAGTTTTTGAGTTCGAACTGGTTACTTGGTAGATTTCTGGTACAACAAACATTGAGGCAACATCACATTGCTCTGTTTGCACATGTTTAACTGGAGCAGAATAGGAAGAAGGATCAGAGGAAGTCGGGAAAAGGTTGAGAGTGTTATACCTCAGCTGCTGTTTTGTAATCTCTCATGCTGTCATCAGGTGGATGACTGGACTGAATGATACAATAATAACATGGTTAGTATTCAGCCTGAAAGCCCTCCAGCCTCCGCAGTGCAGACTAGTATGGTGGGAACAGATTAGGGAGATGAAGTCACTATTATGTTCAAACAAGTCAGAACAGTGAGATAGAATGAGTCATGCCTCCTGCAGAAAAAAAAATAACAGGTGGGTTCTGAATACTTCATTGAGGTCTCTTACTACTCAACAACTCACACTCTTTTCTCCTACTGTTTTTTTTTATTTTTTTTTATTTCATGTGTCACTGATTGTGGTAAAATGTCATCACATCATACATTGCTCGTGGCAAAATTACTAAACTTTTACTGTTTTTTTAATCTCTAACTTTGTTTGAAAAGGCAGATATGAGAGGAGCCTCCCACACAACAATGAAAAATAAATAGATAAATGTCAGTAGAGCACAATGTTTTTGTTTTTTTTCATTACTATCTATGCTTTTCTTCAGAGAGGGTAAATAAGTATGGGGGGTTTTCTCAATAAAAACAAATCACAAACTGAAAACACAGAACCGGTTTTATAAATATAGGAAGCTCAAATTAGGTATTTAAAACCATAATAATAATACATCCTGTGACTAAGTCCCTTTGAAACTGATCCCTACAAAGAATTGCTTGTTTTCATGTTTTTCTAGCTGCTCTGTGCTGATGTAGATTTACTCCCCTCAGATAGGCATCGGGAGGAAGATGGAATGTTAAATTATTCCACCTTATTTAATTATTATCAGGTGAAAAATGACCAAATAAAAAGTGACCCACTCTGAAAAAAACAATCTAGAAAATTGAGCAAAAAAATCACGATAATGAAAAAAACGTAGGTTAAACTTAGTAAGCACTGTAAGCTGTTTAGTAAGGGGCCTGTGAAATTCCTTCATCATTTTAATAAAGACAACCTGTGGAGAGAGGAGGGAAGCCTGTGCTCTCGTTATTCATCAGCCCAACTCCCCAAAGGAATTCCTGAAAGTCTTATCTTTTGGATTGTAAACACTGAAACCCACACATGAGCGATGGGTCCGGTTTCAGAGGTCACAAATTTTACCCAATCTGTGCTGCAGGCCAGGCCAGTCTGACAAAGAGTGGATTAAAAACAGATCAGGTCTGCTGCATGCCTGCCGTGACCCCCTCTGATAAAAGCATGCTGTGTCTGAGAGGAGTCTCTGACCACATTTTAGGTGCAATACTACTGAGAGAAACTGAAACAACATCAAAATCTTCCTAAAATAGAATTAGTTAACATTTAAGGCCATGTTATAAATCCTAAGGAATTTTGAAATTA